ACCATACAGTAGTACAGTACAGTAGAGTACAGTACAGAACAGAACAGTACAGTACAGAACAGTACCATACAGTACAGAACAGTACAGTACAGTACAGTACAGTACAGTACAGTACAGTACAGAACAGTACAGTACCATACAGTACAGTACAGTACAGAACAGTACAGTACAGTACAGAACAGTACAGTACCATACAGTACAGTACAGAACATTTAGTACAGTACAGTACTAGAACAAGAACAGTACAGTACAGAACAGTACAGTCAGTACAGTACAGTATGGTACAGCACAGTGCTGTACTGATTTCTGTACTGAACTGTTCTCTGTACTATACTGTTCAGTACTGTACTGTGCTGTTCTGCACTATTCTATACTGTACTGCACTATTCTTCACATGTACACTATTTTACTGTACTGTACTGTACTACATGGTACTGTACTGACTATACTGTTCTGTGCACAACTGTAATGTTTCTTTGCCTGAATAGTACTGTACTGTATCCTATACTTTCATTCCTGTACTGTACTGTACTGTTCTGTACTGTACTTCTTACTGTTCTGTACTGTACTGTTTCTTTACTGTACTGTACTGTACTGTTCTATCTTTACTGTACTGTTCTGTACTCTAGTGACCTTTACTGTACTGTACTGTACTGTACTGTACCGACTGTTCTGTACTGTCACGTTACTGTTCTTATTCTGCTTCTGTGCTACTGTACTGCTATGCTGTGTACTGTACTGTACTGTACTGTCTATTCTGTACTGTACTGTACTGTCCTGTCTGTTCTGTACTGTACTGTACTGTACAGTACTGTATTTCATTTTGTATATAGTACAAACAGTACAGTACAGTACAGTACAGAACAAAACAGGACAGTACAGTGATACAATACAGTAAGAAACAATACAGTACCATACAGTACAGTACAGTACAGTACAGTAAAAATAGTACAGTACAGTATAAACAGTGCAGTACACTACAGAATAGAGTAGTACATGTATACCAATGCAGTACAACCTGAAACAGTACTTTTATACCACTACTATACTACTATTCCTTACTGTTCTGTTCTATGCCTTTATTCTGTATCTATGGTACTGTACTGATTCTTTTACTGGCACTGTACTATTGCTATACTGTACTGTAATATTCTGTACTGTACTGTATGGTACTGTTCACTGCTTCTTGCTGTATTTGTTCTGTTCTGCCCTTGCTGTATCTGTTTTATGCTGTACTGTACAGTGCAAAACAGTATTACAGTACTGTACAATGAGTACAGTACATCAGTACAGAACAGACAGTATAGTACAGTACAGTAAAAACAGTACGGTACAGTACAGTACAGACAGTGAAAACAGTACTCTGATACAGTACAGTACCGTACAGTACAGTACAGTACAGTACAGAACAGTACAGTACAGTGCAGAAACAGAACAGTACAGTTCAGTACAGTACAGTACACAGTACAGTACAGTACAGTAAAGAACAGTACAGTACCATACAGTACATACAATACTACAGTACAGTACAGTACAGTACAGTACAGTACAGTACAGTGCAGAACAGAACAGTACAGTTCAGTACAGTACAGTAAAAAGAACATTGGTACCACAAATACAGTGCAGTACAGTACAGTACAGTAAAAACAGTACAGTACCATACAGTACACAAATTGATTACAGCAATTGTACAAGTCAGTAATGTACAGTACAGTACAATTACAGTACAGAACAGGACAGTACAGTACGAGTACATTACAGTAAAGAACAGTACAGTACCATACTGTACAGTACAGTACAGTACAGTACAGTTCGATAATAACCGTACAATTGAATACCAGAACAGTACAATACGTACCATACGCCAGTACAGTACAGTACAGAACAGTACAGTACAGTACAGTACAGTAAACAGTACAATGCAATTGCAGAACAGACAGTACAGTTCAGTACAATTCAGTAAAGTGATAACAGTACAATTGTACAGTACAATTTTAATTACAATTACAAGAACAGTACAGTACAGTACAGTACAGTATAGTACAGAATGAAACAGTTCAGTACAGTACAGTAAGAACAATTCAGTATCATGCAGTACAGTACAGTACAGTACAATAAAGACAGATACAGTATAGAACAGTGCACAGTACAGAGACAGTACTGTACTGTACTGTGCTATTCTATACTGTACTGTCTGTACTGTACTATCCTGTTCTGTTCTGTTCTGTACTATGGTACTATACTATGCTATTCTGTACTGTACTGTACTATATATTCTTTATACTGTTATTTACTGTGCTGTACTAGTACTATACTCTTCTGTCAGGACCTAGCAATACCTTCCAACA